GCAGAGGTTGTTCCCACTGTATGTCCACTTCAGATCTGCTCAAAAAGCACAGGCAGGGCACAGCAGCCGGCTGTCTGCTGAGGCAGGGGCTGACAGGCAAGAGGGGTTTGCCTGCTGCAGGCTAAAATGGGTGCTCATGCCTGTGACCCTGAGGATGGTAATGCCCATTCAAAAATAATATTAATTACCAATGGAATGATCCTTCTGGCTTCTCACAGCCAAGCTAAGTCACTGCCTTTCTCAACTTGATGGCCATCTGCTCCCTTTCCAGTTCAGCTCCCAGGATTTTGACCTTCTCCAGGCACTGCTATGTGGGGGGAATCCACTGAAGCCAGCCCCCCCCAACTCCAGGGAACGCCTCTGAAGCATCCTCTTAAATAAAGAAGGTTTGAAGACCTTGGCATATATGGTGGGAAGTGACACCTATTTCTTCCCAGTTACCAGTCCACAATCTTCAGCCTAAATTTGGGCTTAGGTGACATTTGGGGAGCGAGCTGCATTATCACTACTGATGCCAAGCCTTCAAAGCATCCAAAAGTCATTAGGTTCCTCCTTGGGCCACTTTGAAATCATCTAGAAACCTCCAGAGGTTTTATATTACATATAGGCTGATCTACTTGTTGGCTACTGCCCAAAAGCACATCCCTGCCTTCTTCCCAGGCCCTGGGGGCTTCCTCCTTCTTTGCCCCCTCCTCGCTGCCAACAGTGTCGGATATTTGCCTGACCCCTGTTTGAGCTAAATCCACAGAACTCTACCCAGTTTTGCTGCTTTTGTACATCTGCCCATGGGCAGATGATTTTTTTGGGTGCTGGTGGCAAAGGAGTCATGGGAACATGAAGGTGGCGATGGAGAGAAGGGTGGGCCATTCCCTTTGGTGACTGTGCACCTCCTTGAATCCCTGTATCCACAACGTGTGTATCTGTGTAAGGCAGGTGCCTAATCTGCTGTCATATACAATGACAAGGTAGTCAATGCAGTTATGGGAGACTGGAGAGCGATTTTGCTAAGCAAATGCAGGTGCCTACTGTAAGATGAGCCAGACAGCCCTCTAGATTCCACTGACCAGCCCTCCTTGTCTGCCACGGGTCCATGTAGACACCTATGCATTGGCCACAAAAGGCACTTCTGGTCTGAATCTTCAGCTAAATCCCACCCTGGTGTCTCTCTGCCTTCAGGGCCTGGTCCAGGCAGCATTTTCTAAGCATCTCTTACAAGTGTTGAGGTCACAGGATTAAAGCCACATCCCACAGGTCACAGCCATATTCACACACAAGCATGACTGCTGCTGCCCCATTTTACTAGAAGTCCTACATCTAGAGCACGCACTGCAGAAACCAGAGTTAGGCACTTCAAGTTGGTGTTTGCCTCCACCCCACATCATTAAATGTAAAATAGCCTTTTAAGGCATTCAAGAGGCACAGGAGAAAAGAGCAGGTTGGTGGGAATTTGACTTTATTTTTTTTGGCTAGAGCACCACAGAAAGCATCTCTGGGATCTTTTTTTCCTTTGTGTGTGTGGTGGGTTGACCTTGGCCAGCAGCTGGACCCCTACCCAGCCATTCACTCATTCTCCCTCCTCTGCAGGACAGGGGAAGAAAATCAGATCAAAAAGCTCGTGGGCCAAGATAAATATAGAGAGTTCACTTATCAATTACTCTCACAGGCAAAACAGACTTATTTAATTTAATAAATTAAATTCATTAACAATTAAAACAGATTTGGATATCTCCCCAAGGTCTCCAGGGTAGCAGTTGCAACCCCACAGTCCCAGAACATCTCTGGGGTACTCAGGAGACAAGGCTGTGCTGCTGCAGCATCCCTCCTGTGTGTCCTGGGTATTGCAGCTACATCTTCATGGCTGTGCAGGAACACCTGGAAAAGAGACTGTGGGAATTACTCACTTCTGTGTTTTAGTCCTCTCCCTTGATGCCAAATAAATTGGATACTGGCACCTGGTTGTGACTCTGCTGGTCTCCAACAACCTAGTTTGTTGCTACTGATGCTACTAGGCATCTTCACCTCCGTCTAAATTATTTTGGCTATGGCTCCCTCACTTTGCCACACCATGGGTATGCTCAGATCAGATGGTCTCATGGCAATTGCTAACAGCAAACTACCTGGCAGTGTTTGAAAGCAAGTGGGTTGAGATTTGTTTCGCTATATGTTGAATGTCTACAGTGCAAACATCTACAACTGTTACAGGCTGCATGTAAGGGGGGGTGGGGAACTTCTGAGTGCAATACACCAGACTTATTTGAGCTGGCTGGTATTCATGCCCTAGAAGTGCCTATTTCTTTCCACTTACTGTGATGGGAGTCAAGGGTGCTTTGCTCCATTGCAGGTGACTGCCAGAGACTTCTGCAGAAGGAGGCTCAAGCTCGGTGTTAGAGCTTTTGTGATCTCAGCTGCTGCAGCCAGTTTGGGCTGTGGAATTAATGCTGGCTCACTGAAAGAGTGCTGTCTCCAGTCCTGTGTCCCTGCTCCCTCTCCTCACCTCTGCCCTCTGAGCCAGGGGAAGGCAGGCAGGAGAGCTCTCCATGATGGAAAGGTTGTGTGGCTGCACAGTCTCGTCTGCTGCACATGACACACGGCTGATGCTACACCATGCTTGGCAAATAAATGGAATGTAATTGATATATCTGCATTAATTTCTGAAGTATGTTAGAAAAAAATCTCAGTTATGTTAATTAAAAAATAAAAGAAAAAACCTAGGACATACACAGAGAAATGGCATCAGTGGAGCAAACATTTGCTTCAAGGGGCTCTGTCCAGGAGCTAGGCCTTGAGCTCCTCTATCCATTCATCAGCACTTTGGATCATGGGGATTTCCCTCACCTAATTTTAGGTGTCTAAAAGTTAAAGGAGTCTGGGCTGCTGCCCCTTGCCCTTACAGAGCTTCAGTGATGCACCTGAGCTGTCCCCATTGCCTGTCTCCAAGGCAAGAGGAGATGCTCTCAGAAGAGGTCCGTATCTCTCCACTAACCAGAGAGTCCCTGCAAAGCAGTTGGTTCAGATTTAAATGCTGAGATTTTTATCCTGGTGGATGAATCTCACATTTTACCAGCAGCACAGGACCCCAGAACAGACAGATCTCAGACCCCAAGAAGACTGTAGCTGCTTGCTGATGAAAGCTGTTTTGGGAATGGGAACAGGTGATTTTATTTCCCCCCTCATTTCAAGACTGCCTCACACTGGGGTGGCCCAAACTTCTGGTTAGGCAGCAAGGAGCATCGGCCCACCCATAGAAGCACACAGGCTCTGTGGCAGGCAACAATGCGAATTTGGCACCTCAGCCCAAGGTGATGAACTGTCCTTCAGCTGTGGTTACCTCCTGCCAGTCTCACCCAGGAGAGCCTAGGGACCTGCTGTGTAGGTCTTGGCAGTATGTAATCCAGGCATTTGAACTAGATGAGGAAGAACCCTCTTATCAGACTGCCCTCCTTTTTTGGCAGAGAGTCTTTCCCTCACCGCATTCAGAGTTATGACTAATTACTTCACATGCAGGCTTGCTGTTCTGCATCGCTGATGATTAGCCGGCAGGAAGGCTCCCAGCCTTTCTTCTCAGCATCCACCCTCCAGTCCCAGCTTCAGCTCTAAATTTAACCAAGACAACCCTCTTAGTTCGTTAGATACATTTACTACCAGGTTTAGATGAATCACTGGAGATGCTCACATATTTTCCTGACCGTAAAAGCTGTGTCACAGACATTGCTTCCCAGTTGAGTCCTGCATCAGCCTGATTTCAATTCCTTTCAAGTACAGTCTCTGAAGCTCTCTGCTTACCACAAATCTTCATGCAGTGGCTTTTATGAAGCCCCTGTTAAAACTCATCCCATGTGCGTATGAAAACTTGGTCAGGCTCCATCATTCTTGCTATATGGGTTTGAGAAAACTGGAAGATGGGGTAGAAAGGGAATTTCTGTCAGTTAAGGGACATGCAGGTGGGATACTGTTTTCTACTTACATTTTGAGACACAAAGTCTAATAGGGCCTTGTTTATGTATAAGACAGCTTTATACTGTCTTTGTGAGTGTTCTATATATATGTATCATACTAATTAGATATATAATCAAAGAATTCAAGATAAAAACCAAAAGCTTTGTCATGTGCAAATTTCTGGATTCTTGATTTGTACAAAAACCAAAATTATATACTCCAAGTGAGTAGAGGTTCTTCCTTTTGGAAAAGTTCAATCCAATATTAAAACTCCAATGTAAGTGTTATCTCTGTTATAACTGTTTTTTTGAACACAGGAAGAGATGCTCATGCTTAGTTTGTTTCATTCAATGCTATCCTATACCTGATTTCAGCAGAAGAATTTGGGATCTGCTTTTAACTTAAAACCTTGAGGGGAGGGAATTTCAAAGCTCTATATGATTTTTTTTTTTCAGGCCTTTGTCATTTCTAAGAGGAGACAAAATATGTAGCACAGACAATCTCAACATAATCAACATCTATTCTTTCTCTAGTTTATGCAAAAAAATAAACCTATGCTTTCTCTTGGTGAATAAATATACGTACAAAAATGCAAATTACTGTCCTTTAGCAAAGCTGCCTTAACAAGGGATAAACATGTAAGCACATACCTGTGCAGCTTGACTCAAATCAACAGCCAGATCAGAAAGCAACGTGCTTGAGTGGCTGCTGATGCAGAGGTACTTGCACAGCATGAACACTTCAGTTGACAAATGTAGTTTCACTTGCTTCACTAAAATTACACCACTTACTACTGGTGAAGGATGAAGCTGGAAGAGCTCAGACCAGGCAGTGAAAAGCAAAGGCCAGCTCTGTCACACAGCCCTGCCTCCCACCCTGCGACCCATCATTAAAATCTCTAGAGCTAAACCTCCAGTGAGGCATTGCCGGAGATGAAGGATGGGCGAGACTTGAAGTAGCACCGTTCTTGCTCCTCCCCACTGCATTTCTCTGCACAAAATGCTTTTGTTGACCCATAAAGACCTCTACGCTCTGAAGCACGAAATCCATGAGATCTCTCCAACACATCACAAAACCTTTATTAGTGTTTATCAGTGACACAGATTACAGGAACCAAAGGCAATTAAATAACATTTAACTTCAAGTTGACCACAGACTCAAGAAATACAAGTCACATTTGGCAAGGCAAACTTCTCGGTACACTGGGTTGCTCAGGTTATTATTACACAATGAAAGAAGAATTTCCCTTACAAAGTTCTACATATTCAGGATAGTATTATTAATTATTATTATTGTGTCTTTCAGACAGTTCCTTTGGCAAGAATTCCCATTTTTTTAAGCTTTTATTATATAAAAATATAACCAATTTTCATTATGTACAAACATTACATTACACAATGTACAGGTTAAAAACACTACAAAAAATGGCAGGCCATGAGTGAACCGAAAACAAGCAAACAAAAAAACAATGTAGAAAACATGAAAGAAAAATTTAAATACTGCACATTTCATAAAAATTACATTAACTACAAACAATTTTTTTTTTGTTTGCAAATATCAAACAGTACTGACGTGATTGGAAATCTTTCCCAGCGACTCCATTTTTAAGGCACATCTTGCATATTTACATGTACAACACCGGATCTGGTCAATAACTTAAAGGCTCTCACTCAGGAGTGACCTAGTCGTGTGCGCGCAGGGACGTGTGTACTCAGGCAGACAGTGTGTTGGGCTACACCTTCTCAGCTGTGTCAGTCTGGGGACCCAGGTATCTAGTCGAGGGGGCTGGGTAGAGGGGCACCCCAATCTCCTGAAGGTCGGGGAGCCGTGCGGGGCGTGGCGGGGAGAGGAGCGTGATCGTCCGGTCAAAGTCCCTGTGCAGCACTTTCTCGTAGACACTCTGAAGCCCCACTGTTTTGGGCAGCTGGGCTTGATAAAAGTTGTCCCTGCGAAGGGGATCTCTAGGCAAGGACGTGCTCTTGCAGAAGGTGGAGAGGGGTGCTGAAGGATGGGGAGAGGGGTGAGGGTTGGCTCGGCCACAGGAGGGGCTCCAGCAGCGGTCTGAGTGGCCCAGGATCTTGCACTCGGCCGTACATGCCCACAGACCTAAAGGGAGAGAGAGAAGGAGAAACCTGTCCTTTTACTGCAGAAATTAATCCACACCATTAATCCTCAGAGTTAGCAGCCATGGGCTGATTCAATGCCCTGACGGTGGGAGTCGGGAGGCAATGCTTTACAGCACAGCAAAACCCACCCTTGGGGAGGTTATGTCATTTTGCTAGGGATGTTCCTCACAATTCTAACTTTAAGAGAAGCTTTTTGGGGAGGAAAAAACCCCAATCCTACAGTACTTCCAGCATCTGCTAATTTGTGCTGGGTGCTCTGTGTGGAGAGGAACCAGCATCTAACAGCTATTTGACTCAGGCAGCATCAGGTTTTTCCCTCAGCTGCTTTGCCTAATCACTGTGCCCCAGGGCTGGGTCCCTCTGTCCACCTCCCCATCCACCTGTCTGTCTGTCAGGAGGGGCCAGCTGGGAGCAGGGGCTGAGCCCTTACCGTTCTGCATGTGCGTGATGAGATCTTTCTTCAAGGCATCTCCGCTGATGTCTGAGTCGCTGTCGTTAAAATCGCTGTCGCCTTTGCCACTGTCTTTGCCACTGAACTTCTCTCCCTCTCGGCCGGAGATGGTGTTGAACGAATGCCCCTTCCAAATGGCCACAGGGGGAGCAGGCTCCTTGCTGTAGCTCGGAGCAGCAGTGAAACCCTGCGGGGGTGGGAGGATCAAAGGAGAGGTGAGAGGGGAAGCAGTGAAGGGTAAATCAACATCAGAACTGCATCTCTGCAGTTCACATCCTCTGAGACCCTCCCCACCCTCTGGTCCCCTTCCCCTCATCAGGATCTTACCTCCCCATTTGGTCCTCTGAGCCTCTTCTGACCCTCGTAGAGGCAAGTGCTGTCGCTGCTGCTCTCAGCGGTGGAGATCTCTTCAGCAGCTGGAGAAGGGTCAGGGCTGGCGAAAGAGGTTTTGCTGGGAAAGGTTCGTACCTCAAACACATTCCCCCTCTGGCTGCTCTCCTCCTGCCGGCCCTTCTCCAGGTGGGAGATGTCTATCTGCTCCTTCAAGGAAGCGTTGTTTTTGATCTCGTTCCCCTTCTTGCGCCTGTTGCAGGTGGTGGCGATGGTGATTATCGCCACCAGAAGGAGGGTGCAGCTGCCCGCCAGGACGATGATCACAATCAGAGGGATGTCCCACTGCAAAGCTTTTCCTTCCCAGGAGCTGGGCTTGGCTATCTCCTGGATACTGGAAGGAGCAGTGGCGGTCACCAGGAAGTTGACTGTGGCAGTCGTGGCCAGGGGGGGTCTGCCGTTGTCTGTCACAGTGAGGATAACCTTGAACAGCTGGCCCAGCTCTTCAGAGAGGTCACCCCTCAGCACAATGTCCCCAGTACTTGGGTTGATGGTGAAAAGGTCCTGCTGGGGCTCTTCCAGGAAGTCAAAGGTGAGCGTGGCATTCGCCCCATCATCCGCATCTCGAGCTTTGATCTGGGCCACGAGGGAGTCGCGGGAGGTCTTGCTGGACACACCGATTTCCACAGACCCATTGGTGAGCACTGGATGGATGATGACGGGAGGGTTGTCGTTCTGGTCCACCATCCTCACTTTTACAAGGGTGCTGCTGGAGAGCTGCGGGGAGCCTCCGTCAGTGGCCTGGATTCTCAGGTCCAGCTGCTTGAGG